CTCTATTTCAAACCTTTATTTGGATTATACAATAGTTATGTCCATTTGTTGGTACGTATTTGTTTTTTTTTCTTTGGCGGAGATTCTATTGAACTTTCCCATTTTCACAAAAATTGAGTAGTTATGTCAATGATATGCAGGTTCAATATTCCAGTTCCGGTTAATTATGTTAAAGTAGTTCATTTATTCCATAATAAGCTCCTTAACTCATATACCTCACAACTATCTTTAATTATGTTAAAGTAGTTCATTTATTCCATAATAAGCTCCTTAACTCATAGACCTCACGACTATCTCGAATCTAGGAGTTTGAATAATTTCCGAACATTGTAGAAATACTTTTAGGCGCCACTTAAATTAGTATTATGATTGCGTACGCATTCGCGCGACATAATTACAATTTCCAAAATTAAATCAAGGTACACGTTCGCGCTATTTTGGTCGTGTTTTTTTTCTTAAATAATTAAGTGTTGTGAATTGTGTACACATACGCGTGACATGATTCTTGACGCGCCAAACAAAAAGAGTACACGTACGCGTGACTCGTTTTCAAGATAATTCCATAATCACGAATAATCGAGTAATTAAAAGCGGTAAAAGGAAAAACGCACATAGGTTCTAAAACACGTATAATTAAGTCAGGTATGATTAAAGAGACCGTGCTAAAACCACAGGACTCGCAAATACCTAACACCTTCCTCGGGTTCTCGCAAATACCTAACATCTTCTGGTTTAACAGACTTTTAAACAGAGTCAAAAATTTCCTCGATTTGGGATTTAAAATAAATTGATGATTTGGGACTCAATAAATTATTCCAAGTGGCGGCTCTAAATAAAATAATTAATCTCATTTCGATGCTCAATAAATTATTCCAAGTGTTCCCTATGCTCAATCTCGGGGCAGCGCAAATCGGTGAATATCATGGACAAGCAGGAAATTCCAAAGGCACGTGGTCAAAGCTAACAACGAATGCAAGAATGGTACAAATCCGTACCGGACCATTAAGTAGTTGTACCAGCTACGTTTCTTTGTAATAATTATGTTTACCATATTGGGATCCCCCTCTTATATAAAGGGTATCATTGCTATTTCTTATATACATGATATTCAATACAAGAGCAAGAACATTCTCTACTCTTCAACTAAAACATTCTCCATTGTTTTTCCTCTGATTTATTGCTTACATTTATTGTGTTTCATTGATTGTTCCTCATTTATTATTTATCATTGATAATAAAAAGCCTTTATTGAGGCCCTTGGAACTGTTAGTGCTTCATCGATTATCCCCGATCAAACTCACTAGCTCAACCTCGAGCCCCAGCTTAGGCCAATTCGAGATCCCGATTCGCAGTCGTTCAGTTTGAATAACCACACTGCCTCTTACTCTTACTTTATCTTCCTAGCTCATACAAACATCCATTATCTAACAATTAGTATAAAAATAAATCACGTATTTTTAAAATTATAAAATCAAATATAATTGTAATTACCATTTTCAAGGTAAACAGTTACACTCTGCAACCAGAGAGAATGCGGCTTGCTCAATTGAAACACTTTTGATTTGTTGACAAGTGTAAACGTCTCTTGATTGTTGATAATTTTATACTCTTTGTTAAAATTAGAAGGACATATACAAGAAAAAGAAATGGTGAAGAAAAAAAATAAAAAAGTTCATTAATATGGTAGAATAGAAAAGGGGAAAGGGGAAAAAAAAGGCGGGGGTTTGGCAGGGAAGACTAGAGAGGTGGGTGGGAGGGGAAAAGAGAAGGGGAAAGCAAAGGTCTTTTTTCTCTTTTTCTTTTTTTATCTCATTTATATTTTATTTTAATTCTCATATTTTATTAACAAAAATAATATTATTCACGTGTCTTTGCAGCGTGATTTGCACACAATTTAGTCATGTCAGTTGTGTCGCTTCCACATAGGCATAGTCAAGGGCAAATGTGTTTTTAGTATCTATTGCATCAAGTTGGAGTGTTCAAATAGGAAAAGTGCAAGTTCATATATCGGATTTTAAAAGTTCTATAAGTTTAAGTGGTCAAGAAGTCATTACTTCAAAATATTAGTGGAGTTTTAAAGGACTATTAGTCTGTTTGACCAAGTTTCTAAAATCTGTTTATTTTGAAAAGTACTTTTTTCAAAATTGCTTTTTAAAAAAGTAGTTTTGGCGAGAATTATTTGGTGTTTGGTTAATTAATTTGAAAAATACCTTCAAACAGTAATTAGTATTTGATTAAGCTTTTAAAAATTATTTTTAAATATATTTTTTTTCAAAAGTGCTTTTCATAAATATGTTTTTTTGGAGAGATAACGTCTCGAAAGTACTTTTGCTTCTGCTCAAAAATTTTTACTTCTGAAAATTTGGCAAACCCCTAAATTTTTGGCTAAAACACTTTTTATAAAAAAAAAAGTAATTTTGCTGAAAAAAACTTAGGCCAAACAGGCTCTATGTCTATATATATATATATATATATATATATATATATATACATACGTGGTCCATAATTTGTTCCGTTGACGAGACAAAGGCAAGTGGGGTGTGATGGGACCTAACAGCGCGCGTCTCAATAAACTGTGTGCATGCAAAGCAAATAATTTCAGCTTTTAGAAACGTGTGAGTATATATTTGTTTCTTTTTATAACTAAAATAATATCTAAAATAAGTGATTTTTTTAGTTGTTTTTATACATATTAAAAAATTTATCTTTTAATATTAATTAGTAATGAAATTGATTATATTAATTTTTACTCTCTTCACATAAATTTTTCTAATATATACCCCGACATTATTTACTCCAAAAATAATGTAGGGAAAAAATAATTAATCCATTCTTTAAATTTTGAAAACTTACTTATTTTAGATAACAAAAAATCATTTACTGTGACTCGAAGGGAGTGCTTCCTAATTTTGTGAAGACACGAGTGAGTATAGGGAAGTGTGTCAAGTTTTACCTTTTCTAGAATGGAGATGGACCACATAAACAGAATAATAAATAGTTACCGGAGGAAGATCTTATTTTAAACATAAATAAGGATACAGTGAGTCAAATACTCTTCTAATTAATACATTTCTTATGATAAATGTAAAATAAGAGAACGATAGAAAGAATGTACTACTCCCTCCGTTTCAAGTTATATGAACTCATTTGACTGGGCACAGAGTTAAAGAAAAAAAAGAAGACTTTTGAACTTATGGTATAAAATGAGGCGCATATATTTTGTGTGGCTATAAATTATTGCATAAAAGTAAATTGTTTCCAAATAAGGAAGGGTCATTTTTTTTGACACGGATCAAAAAGGAAATAGATTCACATAAATTGAAACGGAGGGAGTATTATTTTTGAACAGGTAGAAAAGAGTATAATGTTATTGGATGTTATGAAATAGAAAAGTCAATGCTATTGCATGAACTATTCATACAAAACAACGAAAAGAGAAAGAAACACATGTGTATTTAAACTTAATTATTTGTAAATAATGCCATTGCCAACCATTAAATATCTAAACGCTAATTAGTTAGTGTAGTATTATAGTCGAATACTGAAACCCTAAATGAGAGTGGGCCCACACACAATCTAACGGGGCATTTGCATTTATACGATTGTTTTTTGGGTCACGTTTTAACTTATACCCTGTTTTGTAAAAAAATTTACAAGCGTACCCACTTTTCGCGTAACTTCAGGCATATGGGCCTGAAGTAGCAAAGACAATCACGCAAACTTCAGCATTCTAGTAGACGGGCCTGAAATAGCAAATTGCTGAACCAAGTGTTGGCTGAAGTTTTTGTTTGTAATTGCTGAACTTAAGCATTCTAGTAGCTAAAATTTTGTTCTTTATTTGCTGAAGTTTTTGTTTGTAATTGCTGAACTTAAGCATTTTAATAACTGAAGTTTTATTCTCTATTTGCTGAACTTCAGCATATTTTAGCTGAAGTTTTGTTCTCTATTTGCTAAATTCAGTACGTTCTGCGTGAAGGGATTCATTATAGTTTGACTATTTTTAGGATGGTAGTCATTAGTCAACTTTCTGCTAACATCTTCAGGTTTTAGATTTTTCTTGTGCAATTAGTGTGATGATGGAAAAAGATTCTCTTTTTGTGTTATTATTAAAAAGAAAAACTAATGAACTTCCATAGTAAGAGATATGAATGATGAAAGAAATCAGAGATCTTTGATGTTCAAATTTTGTAGTTTATGTATATGTAACTGGTAATTACAAACTTAAGTTGGGGTTGAAATCTTAATGACTTATGCTGATCAGAATACAGAAAAAGTTGTAACCTATGAATTAAAGTTTCATAGCAGCACCAACAGCAGCAAAAGAAAACGAAGGAGGAGGAGAAAGAGGGCTGAACTTGTTTAAAAAGTGAGTACAATTTTTCTTTGTGTACGTTTACTTATTCCTGACATTTTGTGTCGAAGGTTGGATTTTACCTTCTTCTTAGATTTTAAATAATTATGATTTTGTTTTAATTAATATTTCTTTGTTGTTTTTTACTACAAGATCTAACTTTTACGGTTCGAAGCTTTTTATATTTTTGTTGTTGAAATCTGTTGCAAATTCATATCCTTAAATTTCTAACACAAAATTCTACCTTTGCACTCTTTTGTTTGATTTGACCATTTATACCTTCAAGACTGTGCTGCAAATCTGAGGTATTTGAATTTTTTTCCTTTTTTGTTGTTCTTGTCGATATTTTTCCTTTTACAAAAAAAAGGAAAAAAAAGAGATTCAACTGAGATAAGTAAATTTCTAATTACTTTGAGCCTAGTAATAGATGTTTTTAGACATGATAGTTCAAACAGAATGGATAACAAATATTTAAACAGTAATTAATATAAGAAGTAGATAATAATAATAAGTTCACACGTAGTAATTAACATAATAATTCAAGTTTAAACATAATAACAAGCTCTAAATTTAGAGTTGATCATAACAACAATAAGTTCATAATTTATAAACATAAATAACACAATAAGTAGTGCATAAACAACTAGGCTCAATCATCCTCATCCTCTGAATCCTTAGTATCCACTCCCTCAGAATCCTCATCCTTAGAATCCTTAGCCTTCGCTCCCTCAGAATCATCATCCTTGTCTGTCTCAGAATCATCATCCTCATCTGTCTCCGAATCATCATCATCATCTTTCTCAGAATCCTTAGCATCCGCTCCATCACAATCATCATCCTCATCTGTCTCCGAATCATCATCATCATCTTTCTCAGAATCCTTAGCATCCGCTCCATCACAATCATCATCCTCATCTGTCTTAGAATATTGCTCAACATCTACTCCCTCAGAATCATCATCATCTTTCTCAGAATCCTCATCATCCTTGTTGTCTTCATCTCCAGTCTCATCCACATTTCCAGCATTTGCCTGCCCACCCTGAGCTTCTTCACCATTTGCATCACCATTTTCGTCCTCAGCATCATCCTCAGCATTTGCAGCTTCTTCCTCAGCATTTGCAGCATCTTGCGCAGCATAAATTGTTCTAAGCATTTGCAGCATCACTATATTCCTCTCCTGCACCTCCAACATTAACTTGGTGTTCTGAGCGGAGCGAAGACAGTGAAGATTAGCAGGTGTAGGGTTCTCATCATTTTCTATTTCTGCTTGGTCAATATTCATTTCTGCCTGTTCATGCATAGAGTCTAATGCAGTTCCCAAGTCATGTGCCCTCTGCTCGCGTGTTCTCTGTGCAGGTGCTCCGGGTGGCTTGATTAAATAACATCGATTAGATTTTAATGTAAATACAACAATCGATTTGTATGTAACTAAATTAAAGTTTCTGCTTTAAAAGCATAGCAGATAGTAAATACAACAATAGATTTGACGGTAGATTGTTAAACCAAGTTTTTATTTTTCCTAGTTTTGTCCCCTCTTATGTAACCCAATTATTGATCAAAATATATAGTCAATTACTTATTTGTTTCTTTCTCCTTCTTGAGCAGTCCTACTTGAGAGTTGACAAATAATTACGGCACTGTGAAAATTGTATGAGCTTGAAGAATTTGTTCAAATAAACAAGGAATAGTTTGATAACCTAATTAAGTTAATTGAAAGCATGTGCAAAAAGTGAAACTCTTTTTAATACTCTTGCGATTAATATGTTTTCAATAACTCTTTTATGTAGTTTTAGGAGTATAATCTTGATTAGTGTAATCTTGGATTAGTGGTGCAAGAAGTGTCTTAAATTTTCAACAATCAACAATTAACATTGCTAACTCTCAAGAGGTATTAAATAAGTGAAATCTAATTTATGAATACATATTCATTCTTGGAAGAATATGAACGTGCTAGTGGTAGTGAATATACCACACTCACCTCTAAAAGGAGGTTTGAGATGATATAAGAAAATAATATCATTATTATGGCATGAATGGTCATTGGTCACGTACCTATTGCACACCAAAATATTTTGGCAATGCGATTATTAAAGAATAATATTAATGCAAGAAACATATCTTGCATATAATTTGACCATGACCACAATGGTATAACTTTTTCTTTAAAAGAGATATTCACCATATTGATGTTCATGAATATGTGGTAGTACAAATTAATTGAGAACTTTGCAAGAGCCAATTATACTATTTTGGAGAAACACAATTGATTACCAATAAGGTATTGTGTTATAGCAAGTCTCAAAGAAACTTATTCAGTTTCCAAAGTACACGCGAAAGCAGTTGATTATATTGAAACTATAAATAAAGGAAATATTTAATATCTTCTATTACTACAACTTGTAGCGGGGTAATATGTATGTAAAAAGTTATCCGCTTTATTCTCCAGTTTGTATTACACAAATAAAAGAACACCACACTAAAGTGGATATTTATTGATATAAAAACTCATATCATAATAAACTTGGAGTTTATTGATAATTGCACATGTCATGGTGTAAACCTGAACTTATCAATATTGATAATTTATTCAGTTGGCATAATCAGTTTAGCCATATCAATTTAAGTATGATGTGCAAAAATAAAAGAGAACTCAAATGAGTAAACATTAAAGAACTAGAAAGTTCTTTACGAATTCTCCTAGGTTGCTTGTTCTCGTTAATTAGTAGGCCAACTAAAATTGGGATTGAATCTCATAAACGCTGGAAATATCAAAAGTAAATATGGGCTCATTCACTTGCCATGTATACCACATAAGATGCATCTATGAGATGATTACATGTGCGATTATTATTAACCCGCAAATGATGGTTTGCGAGGTAACTTACTCAATAATTTAATTTCGAGCATAATTTCCAGATTTTCTATTCAAGAAAGTTTATCTTGATAAGTTGGTTTACATCACAGTTGGTTTAGCAAAATAATTTATTGAGTGCCTCCACTTAATAGCTAAACTATTTCTTATGAGAACAAAGTTATTTATATCAGTTTGATATAGGTCATATACGAAAGTATATTACATTCTCCCCTCACAAGTGGTTCGGGGTCAGGAACCAAATAATTCCATCTTATTATTATTGATGTGCGGTGTATATTTTGATTAGCACCATGACACACAAAGATGGACTCTCAAAGTTGAGGAAACAAGTTAGTTTTTCTAACATGAAGGGCAGACATGATAAACACTTGAGAAAAAGTTACGTGGAACGGATTATCATTTGTATATGTAGATCCTCGAATATCATAATATGAACTTGAAGTTCATAAAAAGATAATTCGTTTGCAATATATTTCAAAGCATGTCATACGCATTTGCTGACCAAAGAAAGTAACTATATTCTCATTGCAAATGCTCATATTAAGTCCTAGAAGGACAAAGTCTATGATACGCTTAACGCGTATAGACAAATCGGTTTCAAATAAAACTTCTTGATAAAGAAGATGAGCAAATGATCAAACTGATCATAATAAGGAGGCAAGTGATCTAGAAGATCACATGACATAACACTTCATAAAATCTCATGAGAGATTCAAGTACCTGAATATATGAATGAAGAGATCTCTATGTTATGTCTTTATGAAAAATTACTGGAACCGATATAAAATGTTCGTCGACGACATCTATCATAGCGCTAAGTATAGATGAGGATCTTAAGTCTATCGAATATAGACACAAAAATATTGGCCAAATAGACGATACACAATTCAAATAGAATTGGTTTAATATGAAAGACATGTAGTTTTGGACATGTAGTTCAAATACTTGAAAGTATAAAGTCAATGATATATGCAATCAGTTTTCGATATCTTATTTGTCTAGCATGACATGAAAACTTGATATGCATCTAATTAAAGTCTATTATATGACTTAACTTATATGACAATTCTTGAATGATTTAAATCGCTTGAAGCATAGACAATTTTTGGTCTTGAAGTACCATATCCTAAGTGCTATTTGCGCACATATGTATCTTGCTATAACTATAAGCATGATAATGTGATAGCGAGGATTTTCAAGGAGCAATATATTCATTGGAGTTAATATGGTTGATTTATTCACCAAATCTCTGTTGACGTCAACCTTCAAGAAGCTAGTGCACAAGATTAGAATGCGAAAGCTCAAAGATGTGATTTGATGCTCTCATCAGGGGGAGTTAATATACGTTGTACTCTTTTTCCATTACAAGGTTTTGTCCCACTAGGTTTTCCTTGCAAGGTTTTTAATGAGGCAACCAAAAGGCGTATTGTTAGATATGTGTACTCTTTTTCCTTCTCTAAATTTTTTTCCCATTGAGTTTTATTTAGTTAAGGTTTTAACGAGACACATTATCTGTTGAATAGACATTCAAGGGGGAGTGTTATAAATAGAATTTTATTTATGGTGAATGTCTATATTTAAAGAGATTCTAGGGTTTATTACTTGGTGGCTAAGTTAACCTCTATCTATAAATAGAGGGTTCTATTCCATTGTAAATCATCCCAAAAATCAATAAGAATTCTCTCTCTACTTTGCTCTGCAATACTCTTCTTCTTTTATTGTGTTATAACAGTTATAAGTTAATTCATACACTAATTCTTATGTCAGTATCTTCAGTAAAGCTTGTTTTAGTTAGTTATGTATCCTCAATAAAGCTTGTTTAAGTAGTACGTAATTTAGAATAATTCGACAAGAATGAAAAAGATAATACTCCCAAATTATGTGATATTATAGTTTGACTAGGCACAGAAAGGGACTTTCAGAGCTTGTAATCTAAGGTAAGTTATAGATATTTGTGTGGTTGTTAATTATTTCATTAAGGATAAAAGGTGAAGTTTCATGTTAAATTTTATTTAAATATAAAAATGCATCATTCTTTTTTAGACATACTAAAAAGAAAATTTTATCACATAACTTAGGGACATAGAGAGTAATGTTTATTAAATATTATGATCCATAAATTTTATCTTATAACAACTACTACGAACTAATTAACAAACAAGCAAAAAGATTTCCTTACGTTTAAAAAATGAACAAAGAAAAATCAAAGTTAGAATTTGTTTTGCTAGCTCTTTTGATGGAAGGTAACATTTTAATGTAAAATATCCATTAAGCTTAAAATAGTTATTTTCTATCCATTTGAAAACTAGTTACAATTTATACAAATTCGATATAATTAATACTAATACCACTAGCTATCCACCCATCCCAACCTTCTTTTACTCACATGGCTTAGTTTAGCTTAGCCTGATTTGGCTCGCTTGGCCTGACTTTATTTGGTTTGGCTTGATTTGACTCGACTTGGTTTATTAGTAGATTAATTTGACTGAATATTAAAAAAATGGATAGGAAAAAAAGCAATGGGTAGGGGCGGGTAAATATTTTCCGCCCCATGGGTTTTGCTAAACATCCTCGTCACGTTTCTCTTTCACAAATACAAATACTAATGCGCACTGGATGAGCTTTCAAAATTTTGGGATATTACTATTCCATTCATCTCATATTAACAATCGTGGTTACTAAAAATAAATGTCTCAAATTATTTGTCATTTTATAAGTTCAAGATAAAATAGTTATTATTTTCCCCTTTCTTACCCCTAGTAATAATGGTTCTTGAAGATGAAGATAACACATAAATAGAATAAATATTCAATGAAGAGAGATTATATCTTAAGACATAAATAAGGGTGATGTTTAGCTTAAAGTATATATATTTGTATGTATATCGCCTCATATTTTACTTTTGTTTCATGGATTTAGGATGTGAAATGTATTGATTTATGTTAATTTGATGTGTTTTTATGTGTAGGAATGATCCGGGAGAAATCGGGGGCGATATATGCGAAATTAGAGCCAAAACGGACGAAAACAGGGAAAGGGCATATTTCAGCGCCACAGGTGGCGCCCAGCCCTACCTGTGGCGCCAGAAACAGAAACTAAAATACTGGAGCGCCGTGGAGGGCGCTAAGCGATAGTCGGGGGGCGCCAATGACGTGAATTTTCTCCAATTTCGCCCGGGACAAGGTTATTTCGGCCCTAGACCTACCCAACATGTATAAAAGCAAGACTAAATATATTTTTTGGAGGGGAGAACATTTTTTAGAGGAACTTTTTGCCTAGGGAGAGCACAGAGTCGCCGTGGAGGCCGAGTATCATCTTTTCTTCCCCTAAACTTAGTCTTTTATGTTTCTTTGTATGATTTGTTGTTTTCTACCATGTCTATGTGGAGCTAAACTCCACGTTCTAGG